AAAATGTCATGCCCATACTATCATAGTGTTCTTAATCTTTTCCTCTTCCATTTTAAAACCTTGGGTATTCTCCAATATAATATGCTTTGGATATAAATTTTTGTTTTGATCCCAATACAATTTTGTCCAATTGATTTTGCCCCATATCAAATTCAAATTCTTCTGAGTCTGTTTTATATCTATTTTGAATTTGAAGATATGGCCACCAATTGTGATTCCTTGTTTTTTTAAGTTCTTGATTTGATTTTAGTTTTCCTTGTGCATCTAATAGATAATTATAATTTACCATTTTCCCTAAATCTAATCTGTTTGGGTGTATTATGGCCTCCATGTTTGACAACCAACGTGGTATTTTCATATAGTGCTTGTTCTTAATTTTCCTCTAGGTTTGTAATAATGAATCTCTTATTAAGTGCCTATTGAAATAGGCACGTGTTTTATCTTTTTCCCCCCACAGATATACATGCCAACCTTCTTGGAGGTCATGACCTTCTATTGTTAATATTCTTTTATCTCTTAATTTAACCCAATCTTTAATCCAATTTAGTATCATTGTCTGATAATATAATTCCCATTCTGGTAGCCCAAAACTACCTCTGCTTTTATTATCCTGCATCAATTTTACGCATTCCATCATATTAGTTGTAAGTCTGTTTTAGTCTTCTATTTACTCTTGCTTCCCTCAGTGGTCTTGATCATAATCCTTCTCTTCTTGGATGTTCTCTCTCTTCCTTATCGCTTCTCTCCTGTTCCTCTTCTACCGTGTTTCTCCAACAATACGGCCTCCACCAATAGGAAGGCCCAACATGTTTTTTGGGCATAAAATCAAATTAATCCCCTCCCCCCAAATTTAGGCCTATTTTAAAATATGCAAAATAAGGGGGAAGGGCGGGGAGACTTGCCGTTAGGAGCGCCTGGAATTCCTCGCCACCAGCCGCTCCTAACGGGCGATCATGACCAAGCACAGAGAGCTCCCTACTCCCACCTTTGCTGCAGACACCTTTGGCACCCGCCGCTGTTGCTTTCCCTTCTGCCCATTACGCCGCCACGTTTGGAGCTGGCGCTTCCATGTTTGGAGTGCCGCCGCCATTTGGAGCTCCAAACGCGGAAGTGGCAGCTCCAAACATGACGGCGGGCGATCTTTTTATTTTGGTCCGTGCGAAGTTCAGAGCGAGCAAGAGAGGGAGACTGCGATGCCTCCATCCGAGATGGCAACCTCACTAGTGGATCACAACGTGGCTGGAAGCCCGAATCGGTGGGATACGATGGCGATCTTTTTGGAGCGAGAGGAAAGGGAGAGAAGAGTTGCGAGGCGTAATTTGCAGGAGGAAGTGGGTGTACCCCACAGCAGGGAGCCCAAGGAAGAAGGGCCGGTAGGCAACGGAGAGCGTCCAGTAGCTCCGGAAGCAGCCTAGAGACGCGCCCGGGAAGAGGCGCAGATGCTGCCTTGTAGTCCCCAAGCCAATTGCGTGCGCCGCCTTTAGTTATGTGCGCTCCGCGCTTTGGGCATCTCCGTGTGATCGCGACCCTGTCCTTTCCACCTGGCGCCCTTGCTGCTTTCTGGCTCTTTAGCAACCGGCTTCGTGTTTGGAGCACTGCCGCTGTTTGGAGCTCCAAACGGCGGCGGAAGCTCCAAATGCGGAAGCTCCAAACATGACGGTGGGCGATCTTTTTATTTTGGTCTGCGCGAACTTCAGAGCGAGCATGAGAGGGAGACTGCGATGCCTTGCTAAAGAGCCAGAAAGTTTGGAGCTGCCACTTCCGCGTTTGGAGCTCCAAATGGCGGCGGCACTCCAAACACGGAAGCGGCAGCTCCAAACGTGGCTGCGGAATGGGCAGAAGGGAAAGCAACAGCGGCGGGTGCCAAAGGTGTCTGCAGCAAAGGTGGGAGTAGGGAGCTCTCTGTGCTTGGCCATGATCGCCCATTAGGAGCGGCTGTTGGCGAGGATGCAAGGGGGGGAATTAAGTCACCCCCCGAAAAGACGGCCTAGCCATTTTTTCGGGGCTCAAAAAAAAATAAGGCCCGGCCTTATTATGTGAGAAACACGGTAACACCTCCTGTTGTTGGTCTTCTTGTTGATTCCTGCTCTCCAATTATTCTTTACTGCTTGTTTCTTCCTCTCCTGCCAGTTGTTCCTATAGTTCCTGCGCCTTCTCAGTGGTGTCGATTCTTATTCTCCTCTTTTGCCAGGTCACAAGCATTCCTTCTGGCACCAGCCATCTAAACCAGATGTTTTGTTTTTTTAGGAACAATGCTAAGAATTTATAGTCTTAAGTCTCACTCACCTCAGGATTTGCTTTAGGGTCACAATTTCTTTATCTTTGTAGGTCATAGACTCATCTTTCATCATCTTATATATAATATCTCTTACATTTTTTCTCACGAATCTTATGTGAACCTCCCTTGGCAGTTTATTCCACCTTGCATCATTTGTGTGAACCCTATAGACCTCATCTATTTCCTTTGTAATCTCTTGTTGGTCCCGTTCCAGTGCCTCTGCAATCAGTTGCGCCATAATAGCTCCCAGGTCTTCATCTTTTGTTTCTTGCATATTTTGGAACCTCAAATAAAACGCTGCACGTTCCATCTCCAAATGGATTATTGAATCTTCCAGGTCTCTATTCATTTCCATCACTCTCCTGTCCATAGCTTCCATTTTCTTTTCTGTTTGCTCTGCCTTCTATGTTTTTTATTTTTTGTTCATTCTTTTCCATCGTTTGTTGCATCGTTTCTATTTTCCTATCTAATTTCTGAATGTTGATTTTCATCTCTCCCATTTCCATCTTCAAGTCAATGTGGTTTGCCAACATATTCTCTTAAGCATCGTTTCTTGGATGGATAGTAGAGTTGCTTGTATAGTTTGCATATTGGCAGTGTTACTCAGCTTGTCTGTAGCCAACATCCCCTCAATTGTTTTCTGTCCCACTGGGGATGCAATTGATACTGATGAACCTGAAATTGTTTTCTTTCCTTTTAAAGTTGTTGTAATACTCGTCATACTCTTTATCTTATTATATACTTCTTCCTACTTTACCATCCACAGCTTGCTTCTATCTACTTTAATTCTTCTGTTCCGTGCTTCTATATATCTAATTTAGGTTACTACCAATTTAAATTACTAATAGTTTCTAAAAATTTATCATATATTACTAACTTACTATATTCTATAATAAGCAAGAAAAGCCTGCTAGTATCTAATCTGCAGTCGGAAAAAAATAAGCTAAGAAAGTATTAAATCAAAGGATAAGTTAGAAGAATAACAGTATTAAAGAGAGAGAGAAAAAAAAAACAACACAACGGGTAGAAGGCAAAATCTATAACAAAGTTACTATTTTATCTTACTAATATCTACTACTTACTAATAACCCTATTTTTATATAAATACAAACACAACAAAGTTTCTCAATATCTATCAATTTATCTAAACCACTAATCAATTTTACTTAATTCATTTACTTAATTCATTAATCACCTTAGTTCATACCCTAGTCAAATTAAAAATTCATTAATCATCTAAAAATTAATTGTGCAGTTCCTTTCTTTTCAGGGCTAATTCCCAATATTAATTAAATCTTTCCTCTATTTTTCCAATTATTTATCCAAACTCAGTAATATATGCCACACTTAAATAATAAACAATTAATTAATCTAAATCATCAATTCATTTAGCATTTTACAGTAGCAGTTAGATCAGATTTTTCAGTTCATATATATTTTGTTTTGTCACAATCTATTGCATCAGCTGTCTTTACTGTCCTTTAAAGTTAAGATGGTCGCCTCCTTTCTTAGTCCAGCTCTCTTACTGTGTCTTCTTTCTTCTGGTCTTCTCCACACTTATAACCTCCACCGCAAGTCCCGTTTCCACAATCGCTTAGTCTACCAATCCAGTACTCAAATCTCGTTCAAACACTTTTAGGTAGCCAAATCCCACTTGCTCCAATGTCTTGCCTTTAAGTCCTATGTTCTTCCACACCGGATTGCCGCTTTTCTATTGGACTTCCGCCCCCTCTCCGAGACTCACAGTTCTGCCGATCAGTCTTTAAGATCTCCTCTTTGACAATCACTCTCTGCCTCTGCATGATCGCATTCAATAGTTATTTCGATGTCGATGCTGTTGCTGTTGCTATTATTCCGTCCTCATTTGGTGTGATCGCCGTGACTTCAGTCTGCCATTAATATGGCAGATCACTCACACGCTGAAGTTTGCAAACATTCCTTGCGGTGTGGCAGACAGTCGCCCTCACACCTTGGGCTTCCTCACAATTTTGCCAATTCCTCCAGGATTCGCGTGCCCCTCGGTGGGGGGGCCTCCAGATGCACAGATTGGGGACAAAAGAATGGAGACTGATCTTCTCTCCCCACACTGCTGTGGCGCCGCAACTGGAAGTCCCCTAGTCCTTCTTTTCATTAGACTAGACATACCCAGTTCCTGCAACCGTTCTTCATATGTTTTAGCCTCCAGTCCCCTAATCATCTTCGTTGCTCTTCTCGAACTTTCTAGAGTCTCAACATCTTTTTTACATCGTGGCAACCAACACTGGATGCAGTATTCCAAATGTGGCCTTACCAAGGCATTATAAAGTGGTATTAACACTTCACGTGATCTTGATTCTATCCCTCTGTTTATGCAGCCTAGAACTGTGTTGGCTTTTTTGGTAGTTGCAGCACAGTGCTGGCTCATATTTAAGTGATTGTTCACTAGGATGATAAGGGGTATTCTCACAGGCATGTAACATATCTACTCTCTTCAGTTCATTAAAAATAGGAAACATTGAGAAGTTTCCCCTGCTAAGTTTTGGAGATGTAAATTGAGGCTGCAAAATGGAAGCAAAGGTCACAAGCACACTATAAATCATAAACTGCTACTCATGTTTTAAAGTATTGTACACATTCATAGTGCACTATACATTAATACATAGAGATAATATCCAGGATTGGTAATGGCTGATGGTGTATTTTTGAAACAGTATCAGAACTTTTGCTTTTGTCTTTTTTGCAGCAACATGACTGATGCCATCTCCAGAGCCCTTGACAACATTGGTCGGGTATATGCCCGTATGGGCAACTTTCAGGAAGCCATTGACACGTATGTGGAAGTCAAACAGTGATATTGCCTTCTGCAGTAATAGTCTTCACTATTTTGTCCTATTTTAACTCCACCTGATCATAAATGATCAAGGAGAGCAATGTCAGTTAAAGAAAAGTAATGATATATTAACAGCTGTTAGAACTTATTTGTGCTGGGGTAAAAGATGGGAATCCAGGCTAGTGGGAACCTGTAACTCCCAAATGCTGTCCCATCGGTCCTAGCCAATACAGAGTTATGTCATTGGGTGGAACCGAGACCCCCTCACTCATAATCCAATGAATGTCCCAAAGAATGAGAAGATGCAGAAATTTTAATGCTAAAGGCTGAAACTACTATATTAAGAAAATTTTATTATTATGGAAACTTGAAATTGTCCTTGTTTTCTGAAAACTGGCTTACCATACATCAGAAGGTCTCCAAACTTGGCAACTTCAAGATTTGTGGACTTCAACTCCCAGAATGTTCCCAGCTATGCTGGGACTTCAACTCCCATAGCTTCCAGCTATGCTGGCTGGAGAATTCTGGGAGTTGAAGTCCACAAGTCTTAAATTTGCCAAGTTTGGGGACTCCTGCCATACATGGATGATGGTAAATAGCAGTAGGGTTGAGGATAAGAATTTTTGTATAATAATCATCACTGACAAAGGTTAATATTTGTCTCCTGAAGTCTTAGATGCCAACTCTCAACTGTGACAGATATCAATCATCTCTCCTTTAGACCTATACGGCCCCACCATTTTAATCACAATTTCGAATCTCAGAATCTCAGAATCCACCCTTAGGAAAGTTGAGAGATCTGTAACAATTGTATAAAAATGGAAATCAAGGGTTGATCCTAGGAGTGCTGACTATACTATCACTGTACTGGGCTTGGCAGAAGCTTTATAGGAGTCTAGCAAAATATTTTTAAAGGCTATTTTTTTTCCTGTATATAAATCTTTACATTTCTTTTTTTTCTTTTTTGCAAAGCTGGGAGGAAAAGATTCCTCTTATGAAGAGTAATTTGGAGAAAACTTGGCTGTTCCATGAAATTGGCAGATGCTACCTAGAACTCAACAAAGCAGCTGAAGCTCGAGACTATGGTGAAAAATCCTTGCAGTGCGCAGAGGAGGAAGGAGACATTGAGTGGCAGCTCAATGGCGGGGTATTGGTGGCACAGGCACAGGGTAGAGTTGCTTTGCATAAGCTTTAACCCAAATGTTTATCTTCATTGGCTGAACTGGGCCTCTTTGACATAGCAGAATTCCTTGTTCTTTTCTAATGAAAATCCACTTATCATTATTTGCTATATAAGATAATCTCTACTGATATATTTAGCTTGTTGCGGTAGAGAAAATGTTCAATTCAGCAACTTCAATTAGCCAAGTTATTGACAATCATATACATGCTCACTATTAAAATGCAAATGAACTCAACTCAGATTGCTGTTTAAAACTGCAGGATTGCTTCTATGTCTTGAAAACATAAGTGATCTCTTAAACTTTAAAATGATGAAGGGAGACAGCTAAACACCTAGTCAATTGCTTTTAATTCCTGCATTCAAAACGATTTGAACTAATGAACTGTGTTGTTATACAAAAAAAATAAAAACTTCATTGATATTAAAAATCAAATACTAAATCCTGGGCAGTAAAAACTGTAGTATCTTGTTTCCTGTACCGTACTCAGTAATAGTTTTGGAAATGTGTCACATGAACACTACATGTGTAAGCTTCTCTTTATCTACTCACAGTGAAACTGGAGGATTTTCAGTCTGCAGTCACATATTTTGAAAAGGCTCTAGAGAAGGCAAAACGTATCCACAATGATGCAGCTCAGCAGGCAATCATCATTGTAAGTAACATACAAATGGAAGATGGAAAAAAATAGCAGGAAGGATTAGGACCAGTGACTTCTTTTCATGATAAGTTGATAAGTTGGGACTTCCCAAAGTGCAGCTTATGGTTGCCCAGCTTATGCGTTTGAGAAAGTAAAATAGTACATGACATGTGATGCCTCTGTTCAGGAAGATAGTAAATCTAGAAGACCATAGGAGGCATGAGGAAAAGCTATTGATTCTAAAAATGGAAGGAAATGCAGTACTAGCTTTAATAGAGAATTAGTTATATAGGTAATCTTTGAATTATAACAGTTGATTTAGTGACCCTTCAAAATTAGAATGGCATTGAAAAAAGTGACTTAAGACTATTTTTTCACACTTATGACCGTTGCAGCATTCCCGTGTGATTTACATTTGGATGCCTGACAACTCATTCATATTTATGATGGTTGCAATGCCCTGAGGTCACCTTTTGTGAGCATCTGTCAAGCAAAGTCAATGGGAAAGCCAGATTTACTTAGCAATTGGGTTACTAACTTAACAACTCCAGTGATTTACTTAACAAATATGGCAAGAAAAGTCATAAAATGTGGCAAACTCACTTAACAAATTTCTCACTTAGCAATATAAATTTTGGGCTCGATTGTGGTCATAAGTTGAAGACTACTTGTATTCAGGGAAACATAGTATTTTACACAAGAAACTAAACAAAATATTGGGATATACAGATAGATAAGAAGTGCTTTCATGGGTTTTTGTAGCTTTCTTGAAATTGTTGGCTGGCTATTGTTGGAGAACTCAATAGACCTTTTGTTCTAAAAAGTCAATAAGGCTAAGACCTGTTTTTGTCAAGAGCTCCTACATTTTCCTTCAATTTCTGATTATGTGCTGCACAACTTACCTGATCCAACAACTTAATTGTTTCCCCAGTTTTCCACTCTGATGACTGGAAGATTCCAGATAACTAGGTTTGAGTTACATATGTGAGTTTCCTTGTGCCACTGTCCTTAAAGAAACAAGAGGGTTCGAACTCCAGTTCCTCTGTTTTTCCTGGTTAATCATATTTTACACGTACACATATCTATGAACTGTTTCAATATGTAAATTGCACACTAATGAAACTAAATACGCAAGGAGAATATCTCTTTAAATTTTTCTGAAGTTTTATATAGATTCAGACCAGAGGTGGTATTCAGCTGGTTCTGACCAGTTTGGGAGAACTAGTAGCGGAAATTTTGAGTAGTTTGGGGAACTGGCAAATACCACCTCTGACTGGAGATTTTACAGTATCTTTCCCCTGCCATGCCCATTAAGCCACGCCCACAGAAAAAATTTGAATCCCATCACTGATTCAGACTATTTTTTACCAGGCTCTAGATGAAGCCAACAAAGGGTTCATCAAAGAGTTGAAAGAAGAACAGAGACTTGAGAGGATGCGTGAATTGAAAGGTTGGTATATGTACCAAGTTGTTTTTTAAAAAAGAAACTTTATTGAATAAACATTAAAAACAATTGAACACAGTGTGACTTTTAGGCCATCATTTTGGACATACAAGCTATAGTATAGAGATACACATAACAGTTAATTTCCTTTTTCCCTTATGTTATTAGTATAGTGCTAGCTACATATTATTTCTATTTACATTTATCTACATTTATCTACAATTATATACATATTTACAACCGTCTTTTATTGTATTTTTATCATCTCGTATTTGTCTATTATATTCCATTCTCTTTGGGTTACAAAACTTTCATTCCTATAAAGCATCAACGCTTTGTTTTTCCTTGACTCTAGCCATTGATACATTTTACTCCAGACTTCATAATACTGTGTCTCACCCTTTTCTTTGATTTCTAAAGTTAGTCTGTCCGTCTCTGCACAGACTAATAGTTTTCTTATTATTTCTCTTTCTGTAGGTGTATCTTCATTCTTCCAGTTTTGGGCATACACCAATCTCGCAGCTGTTATTATATGTATCATTAAATATATTGTTCCTTTACTGTATTTCTCATTAATAATTGCTTTATGTACTAAGTTGATTACAGAATATTCCAGGCAAATGTGTTGCCAGGGTTCCATTCCTTCCTTCCTGGTTTTAGTGTTGTGGTAGGCTAACAGAAGTCAGCTTGATGGTCCCTCAGCTGTGAGTGTACCATAAGGATTGATATTGTCCCCTCACTGCTGGCTTTTTAATATCTGAAGAAATCACTAAGAGGTCATCCAACAATTTTGGATGTGGTGGCATTAATGTGCTAAGAATACTAATATATATATTGCTACCATGAATTGTGGAGAAAATGCTGTTGAAGTTTTACTCTAATATCTGAGGCTGTGAGAATCCAGATGGAAGGCAACAGCTCAAATTTAACCCAAACAAAATGGAATTTCTATTTGTACATTGGAATTCTCCCTAGGTGCCAAGTGGTAACCCTGTTGAACAGGCACTACCTATTCAGCTGTAGGTTTGTAGATTGGGGAAGTTCTTCCAGACTCATGGCTTCTGCTTGAACACCATGTAGAGGCCTCTAGTTGGGAAAACTTTTAACCAACTTTAGCTTATACACCAACTATTTTCTTACCTGGTACAAGCAGGACTAATGATAGTAAAGAACATTTTCACAGACTACTGCAATGTGTTTTACATGGAGCTCTGTTTAAATAACTATCCAGAAAATACAATTAGTCAGGGGTAAGGCACTTTGTGTCTTAATTGGCTCCTAATTTGGGACCAACTTCCACCTATATCCGTGATGGCGAACCTATGGCACACGTGCCGGAAGTGGCATGCAGAGCCACTTCTGCCGGCATGTGAGAGGTCACCCGGAAGAGCCTCATTGGGCATGCATGTGTGCCACCCGCCCGCCAGCTGATTGTTGGGTATCTGGCATGCATGCACGGGGGTGTATGGGATATGCATATGCATGCACAGAAATGTGCGGTGTCTTGTGCACATGTGCAGAGATCCGCGTAGCATGGGGGCACGCATGCACAGGGGGCGTGGAGGGGCTCATGCATTGCCTTCTAGGTGCTGGCACATGAGCATGCACACATGCACAATTTTCGGCATGGGAGCCCAAAAAGATTAGCCATCACTGACCTATATCGTGGGCTCTGCACTGGTTAAAGTTAAATAGAAGTGTATGTGTTAATCTACAAAGCTATGTATGACTTGATAACTGAATGCCAATGGGACTTTCTCCCTAAGTGGATTTTGTATAGCCTCTTAGATATTGTAAAAAGGGTCTCCTTGTTGACCCACAGTTTTGGAATTTTGGGGAACCAATGTTAGAAGATGCTGCTTCTCCATAGCAATTATGGAATAGTTTCTCCCTACCCCCCACTTACATTTTATTAAAAACTGAAGTTTTTTGAAGAGTCTTCAGTAACATTACTTGCATCTTCTGTTCTTATCATTTTCTCCTCTACTTTGCTTTTGGTTTTGCTTGGATCATTAGATTGTGGCCACATTTCCATAGCATAGCTTTCTGAGCTGATTAAGATTAAGAATCAGCTCAGTGTTAAAGAATAGATCACCCTATTCAACATATGAAATATCACTTCAAAACTGAATAAAAAGTGCCACGTTCCAAATTTTAAATCTACAAACTATTAAAACAAGATTGCACAAGATTACTGTTTGTAGCACACTATGATGCCTGTGGCCTGCTAGAAAAATAAAAAGCAATGAGAATGTGATAGCAATCAATTTAGCCATAACAAGAATACTATTTTTTGAGTTGTCTTTTGTAACAGATATAGAAAAAAGAGGAAACAGTCAATAGTATTTCAGAATGTTCAGGGATCAAAAACAAATTAATTAAAAGAAATAATACATTATTAATCCTATTGTGCTGAATAGAAAATAAAGGATAAAATGTGCAAGTAGACAATTTTAATTAAAAGTACAAAATCTCTGATAAGTCTCTATTGCCTGCATTTGTAAATAAACACTACAAATGTACTGAATACATAATAATCATGTCTCAAAAAAACATGGGCAAACCTTAAATGTTGGAATGCAATGATTTTGGATTCTGTACTAAAAGTGAATGGATAAGCATTGCAGTTGCAGAGAAAAGCTTGCCCTCTGGGTGGTAGTATTTCTCCAGTCTCTTATTGTTGGTTGGTAGGTAGCACTGCATTTTTCTCTTTTTGATTAACCAAATTTTTATATTCGATTTCAAGTTTAAACTTCAGTGTTGGTGCACATTAATTCAGTATAGAACTCTTCATTACTTTTCTAGAATTAATATCTGAGGATTGTTGTGTGGCCTCCTGTCTTTCTATTTCTCATAAGCCAGGAATCTATGCCCACTGTCAAAAAGCAATTGCATTATAGCAAAGGCATTGTAGGGGAAACGGTGGTATCAGAGGTGGTATTCAGCAGGTTCTGACCAGTTCTAGTGGAAATTTTGAGTAGTTCTGGAGAACCGCCAAATACCACCTCTGACTGGAGATTTTACATTATCCTTCCCCTGCCACGTCCACCAAGCCACGCCCACAGAACTAGCAGTAAAAAAAACTGAATCCCACCACTGGGTGGTATGCTATCAGTTTGGCCCAGTTCGCATGAACCGGTATCAAAAATTCCTACAGGTTCAGCGGTAGTAAAACAAACCCTCCCACGATCAGCTGAGAGGAGGAAAAAAGCCTCAAAGGAGAAATAAGAGAAAAGCGCAGAATTGGCCCTCCCACTGGGCCCTGCACTTTTCTTTATCCTCTCAGCTGATTGGCGTTGCGGCCTCAGCTGGTGTGTGGAAAGCTGTGTGGGTTGCGTTAGGTGCGCACGTGTTAGGTGTGTGTGTGTGTGTGCACACTATCACCGAACCGGTAGTGGAGCAGGTAGGATCCCACTGCTGAGGAGAAAGCACAAAAGAATAATATACCTGCCCTCAAAGTTCTGAATAGGAAATCAAAAGCCATCCATTTATGTTCCCTTTACAATTGACCTCACTTTTGGGGGGTTTTCCTTAGTAATCTTGCCTTTCCCATAGCTGTAAAATGGAAATATGGTTGAGAAGTCATAAACCTGAGAGTAGAGATGGATATAAACATTGAAATTCTATTATTTCCCAGAGTTAGAAGATGAAGAGGAGGAAGAAGAAGAGTTGAAGGAGGAAGAGCTCAAGAGAGATGCAGATGATACAGAAAAAAAGGAGGAAGCTGAAAAACTTGAATCTGAAGATGTGAGAGAGGTATTATCCCAAGAAGCAGAAGAGGTGCCTGCACCTGAGAATAGGGAGATGCAACAGATGGAGGGAGAACCAGATCAAGGAGAAACTGAGAAGAAAGGAGAAGAACATGAAGAACCTGAGGAAGAACCTGGGGAAGAACTTGGAGAAGAACCTGAGAAAGAATTAGAACCTGACCCAGAAAAACCGAGTGAAGAAACTGTAGGATAAGATTGGTGAAAATTGTTTTTGGCTTGTAATTTAGGAACTGTCTTCTTGTAGTAATCCATTTTGCCTCACAATATTTTCTCTCTACATTATCGCTTGTGATGTTCTGACTACTAAATAAAACACAAATAAAATAATTATTAAATGTATAATTTTATAAAGAGGTTGCAAGAATACAGGAAATATACTTCCATCAGAGGTGATACTCAGGTTCTGACCAGCTCTGGAGAACCGGTAGCAGAAATTTTGAGTAGTTCGGAGAACCGGTAGCGGAAATTTTGAGTAGTTTGGAATACCACTTCTGACTGGTCCTGCCCCCATCTCTTCTCCGCCTCCTGAGTCCCAGCTGATTGGCTAGGTCTTTTTTTTGTTGCCCTCCACAGGAGAACGGAGCTGGAAAGCAGGTTAGCGGGGTGGGGAGAGACTGGGATTTTGCAGTAACCTTTCCCCAGGAGTGGGGAAGGAATGGAGATTTTACAGTATTCTTCCTCTGCCATGCCCACCAAGCCATGCCACGCCTACCAAGCCACGCCCACCGAACCAGTAGTAAAAAATTTTGAATCCCACCACTGACTTCCATGTAGGACTCTTTAAAAAGTTTAGTTAATTCTGATAAAGAGCAATAATTCTGAAATACTTCATTTTATGTTGTAATGACGAGGCAGTCGAGTTGTTTGATCATGAACAACTGAATCATGATGATGATCTTTATTGGAGTCTAGTCTTGCATTTATACACATTTTTAGTTATCGTCCATCACTGGTTAACTTTGGTTACTGCTTCTTTGGTTACTGTTTAGCACAGTAATCCATACAATTAATTATCTCTAGTTAAAGTCTAACATATGTTTACTTTCTCTCTCTAATCCTCCTTTAGATTAGTGACTTTGTTTGCCTGAGTTGTATTTGCTTGGAAACATTCTTTATCTGAGGTTTGCCATCCGAGATTGGAACATTCCTGCAATTACAACTCTACAATTTTATATTTTTATATTGCTTTTGAATGAATAGCTCAACTCATTAAAATTAATCCTAGCTGCAAGACAGCTAAATGATTGAAGGATTCTCAAATCAGTTCACATTATTAATCTGAATATAGACAAAAAACAGCAAGCATCTGCAGAATGAAATCTTTCAGTAGTAATAATTTTGGATAGTAAGTTGCACAAGAGATCATGTTGTACAAGCAATTTAGATGTAAGTTCTACATTTTGGAATCTTCCTTCTGCAAAAGCTGAACCATATATTCAAGATTTTCTATGTGGAAGAAAAGATATTAAGAAATACATTGGTGAATACATGCAAGTAAAATAAAAGCTATTCAGAACCTAATAGTAATAGACATCTGTATATGAAAATGCTGCTTGTCAGTATCATAATTCCCTGTTATGAATGGAACAATTGTATTTTTCTGGGCACTCATAAGAAATTCAGGAGAGAAGTAAATTGTCCCAATCAAATTATTGTTGGGAATCAGCATTTTAGAAGTGGAACTTTTTCTAGGTTAAGATAATTCAGAACACGTCTTTTAAACATATCCTACTTGCAAATGTCAAAAATCATTATCAGTAACTTTCCTAAATATAATGGTTTAGTGTAATGGCTTTAAGAGTTAGATAGGCTAACTGGAGAGATAAGTTCCACAATCTGCCATTGCCTATATTAGGGCTACGCAACATAGGCTGCTCAGCTACATGTGACCTACCAAGTAGGCTTATGCTATCCATGGGCATATTTTTAAAATGTCAAAGTTAAACCACTGCCCTGAAACACATGCTGTTGACGCCTCATCACACCTAGCTTCTTTCTTTGTAGCCTGCAATTGTTTTTATTTTATCAATATGGCCCTTCCCTTCTATGAATTGTGCAGGCTTGATTTGAATGCTAGTTATTTGAATGCTAGTTTTTAATTTTTTAGTATTTTAGCAACATATGTATGGAGATTCTCAGTCATCCAGGTTATGATTGTCTCAAAGATGCTTTTTCAAAAGGTAACTGGACTTTATTTTTCTTTTAAGACATTTTGCTTCTCATCCAAGAAGCTTCTTTAGTTCTGACTGAATGGTAGAGAATGGAAGGATTTATATTTCTCAGTCACCTGGTCATTAGCATTCAAGTCCAGATGACTGTGAGGAATATAAATCATTCTGTTCTCCACTATTCAATCAGAACTGAAGAAGCTCCTTAGATAAAGTGAAATGTCTTCAAGGAAAAACAAAGTCCTGTTGCTTTTTGAAAGAGCACCTTTTGGACATTTCAGCAAAGCCATGCTGGGCAGCTAGTTCTGAGAGCTACAAGTCACATATCAACAGAGAACTCAAACCCAGAAGGTTGAGGGGTTCCATTTAATTGCTCCAGTAACAGTCCAATGTTCAATCCCTCATTGAAGTTAAAGTGATTTCCATGTAAGTAGGCAGAGAGCTTCAGGTTTAGAAAAGCTAAACCATAATTTTCAACAGCAGGACTTGTCTTTCGGGAAAATTTGAAGAGTCACAGGTTCCATGTGTGGAATATATAGAATTTGGAGAGAATACAGGACTGTTTAGCCACTAGATAATTGTGATTATGTTCGTCTAGATAAATATCCAATCTGTTTTCCATCCTTGCAAATCAAATAATGCAACATTGTTACCTTTAGCAGGCAAAACCCCCAGCAAATAAGAGTTTTAAGATGGTGATAGAACCACGTGGCCAATGATTATGAGCAATATAATCCCAAACCTCTGAATGAAATCTTATTGGGGTATATTGTAGAGTATTAGATTTAAAAAAAAAACCTGTGACATTTTGCATCTAAGCATTTTTTCGTCTCCCATTTCATCTTTTACCTTATTTTCCGTTGGGCTGTTTGTGGAGTTTATACTCCGGTGGATATGCTTACATTTTCTGTTTCATTTCGTTTAGTAAGTTTCGAGAGTCCGCCATACTTTGCTTCCTTGTTCTTTAGTGACCTATACCTCCGCCCGCACCGCCCCTTACAACTATCCGGAAGCTTTCCTCTGCAGAATGTGTCCTTTTCGGAGTGGGGCTAATTTTTGTTCCTTTTGCGTCCTTCCCTAGAACTGAAAAACCCCTTCCCTCTGCTCCGTTTTGTTTATCCCTCTCAAAAAATGCAATAGAATAAACAAAACGCGGAGCTGGGCAGGGCACAACCGCGCTATCACCCCTTGCTGGGCGGGGGGTGGGGGGGGGAAGCAGATGAGCATTTTCGCCTTCCCATCTCGGTTGTACCAGGCAGGGATGGGAGGGCGTGGTTTCTTCGCTTCCGTTCCCATTTGGGCTTATAAAAGCCGCTTCGAGCGCGCTCCTTTCGTCTGAATGCAAAGAAGCCCGTCGGCGGTCTTGCAGCTGCCGAAGTTCCTGATTCCGGTTCCTCGCCCCATCCGTTCGGTGGCGTTGCCATGGTGAGTTTGGGTGGTATGAATTCTGCTACTCCCGGAGCAGTGCTTCTCAACCTTGACAGCTTTAAAATGTGTGGACTTCGTACATTGTTGGGCGGGGTAGTTAGAGCTGAAGTCCATATGTTTTAAAATTGTTAAGCTTGAGAAACACTGCACTGGAAGATGCCACCTTCCAACTCTGTTATTCTATTCTATTCTAACCTCCCACAGATATTTATTGCAGGATGAATTACTGGGCGGATCACTGTTTAGAATGATTACAAAGTTTTATCTATTGAACATTGGGCATGAAGAACATAGGAACATAGGAAACTCGAGATTCAGTGAGTATAGATAAGGAGCAGTCCTGCCCTGAGTGCAATTTGTGCGAGATAATACAAGCTGTGGAACGTTGTAAACTAAAAGGGCAACGAGAAGTTTCAGGTCTACTCTGGGGAGTAGAAGCAAGGGAGGTCCTGGATGTGCCCAGTCCTAGTCAGACCTTTGAAACTCTTTGGATCTGGATGATTCTTCTTCTGAGAGAGAAATGGAATAATCCATTCCTCACAATGCGATATGTATCTGATGGCATTTGGTTGCACACAAGCAAAGGTAACTGTTTATCAGTTTCCTGCTTGGAGAAGATAGAAAATATGAACAAAACTTAATCTGAATTTAAAGGAGAGGAAACATATAGAGATAACTTGAGGACGAGTATACGTCTAGGAAGAAATCCAAATTTCAAATTGAGAGTTCCATGATCACACCTTGCTTTAAATTGGCATCCTTCAGTCTCAAAGAGACTATGGTATCATGCTATGAAACCGCTAACTGCCACTTCCCATGTTGTTTCAATGCTATATGGAAAGCTGAAGTGTCTTCTCCAGAGCAGGAGGCCTGGATAATTTAATATGGAGGATAAACTGTTACCCAAGCAACAGATCCCCCTTGCTTTGCTCTCTCTATTCTGGCTGGCAGGCTTTATGTGTGATTTGTCTGTTTGCAAGAGAATATATATTTTATCTAGGATGGAACTTTTGTATGTTTAAATATTGCAAAAATACAGCCTTAATTTTTGGGGGGGACGGGGAGGGAGAATTTAGTAATCACAAAATAAATCCGCTTCAAATTCATCAATTTCACAGAAAGTTGATTTATAAACCAGGAGTGCTGTGAAATATTGAGTTAATCTACTCCACAAAAGCATACTCCAATCTGCGTCCTGGTGAGTGGACTTAATTCCCCAAATTCTTCAAACTGGCTCTACTGACTGGACATTTTAGAAGCCCATATTCTGAAAAATATTCAAGTCAGTTTATATTGATGGCAGATTTTTTTTATTTTATGAGAAAAATGTCTTTTTTAAAAGAACTAAGAATGCTTAGGAATTTACACTGAATGCATGTGTCTGTGTCTGTGTGTGGAGTTTTGGCAAAAATTCATTCAGCTGATTTTTAAAGTATGTACTGACATGGATTGTGTAGAGCTTATTTTTACTTATAATCTTTCCCTCCCTTTTGTATTTATAAATCCAAAGTAATTTACATTACACACTAAATACACTATAAATACAATAACTTGTACATATTTTATTATCAGCCCTGCTCTAATTTACTGATCTGGCACTCAGGTCTGATTATCTTCCCTTCCTCAGTGGAATTGAGAATAGATTATTAATGTGTCAAATCTATGCATTTTCTGTACTTAAGAGTAAGTCATGTGCAAAAGAGTACTGCTTACATTGTCCACACATTCTCT